CAATCCACCAGTCAGCCAGCCAACCAGTCAACCAGTCAAGCAGTCAAGCAGTCAGGCACTCAGCTAGTTATCCATCTAGCAGACGAGACAACAACAATTACGCACACTGACACTTAAACTCCCATTGCGCCTACCGCAAGTTATAATCCCCATAGTAACCAGCGATTCGATTCATGCAGTCGGTAATCAATCATCAAAGAAATTTATGAAAATAAGCAAATATCCTGAAGGATTAGGAGACGGAAAAAGAATTATTTACAAATGTATGTATGTATGTATGTACATAAAATAAGTATTTATCTACAGTTTTTAGTTGAAAGTGTGGAGAGTTTTTTTTATATATCGTTTTATCTGTCTAACGAGAAATTATTTGATACCTTAATTGAAGTGGAGTATCTTGTGGGAATGTCTCTCAACAAGCTCTGCTCAGAGTTTCTACTTCTACTTCATTGGCATGGGCACCGCTGACGCGATTATAGCCGAATCAACGATAGCCAATTGAAACCATGTCGCTCTCCACCTGATGCGACCAATAGAGTGTATGCCCTCACCTTCTTCTTCCTCTTCCCCTGGCGGGTAATGCATCAAAAACTTTCAAAGCTGGAGTATGCTTACCCAACCATACCACACGACCTAGCCAGCATAGCCGCTGTTTCTTAATTCGCTGAACTATGTCAATGACACCATGTATCTTGTAGAGCTGATCCATCCATCAGCTGCGGAAGTCGCCGTTCCCAACGCGTAGAGAAACGCAGATCTCACGGCAAACCTTGGTCTTGAAAACTTCTAATGTCGACTCATCAGATGTTGTCATCGTCCATACATCCACACCATACAGCAGGACGGGAACCATAAGCAACTTGTAGAGTTTGGTCATCGTTCGTTGAGAGCGAGGACTTTATTTTTTAATTGCCTACTCAATAGCACCTGTTGGTAAGAGTGATACTGCGTTGGAATTCAAGGGTGACATTGTTGTTGATATTGCTGCTGATCTCTAGACCTCGAACTTGTGACTATCAACATTGGCGTGGGAGCAGAGTCGCGAATGCGATGACTGTTTGTGTGATGATAGAAGATATTTCGTCTTGCACTCTTTCGCTACCAGACCCATATACATCGCTACTTAATCAAGTCTGGTGAGAGAAGAGCTCTCGGCGCGGTTATTGAGTCCCAGATGATGAAGTCGCTAGTGGTCAAATCGACAGTGATATCAAAAGCTAGGTAAAGGAATTATTGAAACTAATGCTTCAAAACTCTTTCTGGAAACCGGTTACTCTTCTCTATAACAAGAAGAAAGGCATCTGTAAATACCTCCCTGGAATTTTCAAGTCTCATTCTACTATCGTCTCTCATTTATACTCATCATATTAACTTCTAAGATTCTATCAGAAAATTGTGAGTTACCTAGTGCCAGAGCATTCAGATCTATTTGAATTGAGTTGAGTTGGTTCGGTTTCTAGCATGGACTTATTTGCCTATTGTTGAAAACTACGAGAGCCAATAAGGGTTCTGTCTACTCCTTAAATACGCGAAACATTTGATGTGTCTCGGATATTAATCGAAAATATTAAAGTCTGCTAAATGTAACTCGGTGAGGTAATCAATGTCTTACCTTCCGTGAAATTGGTGTTGAGTGGTGCTTCAGGCTGAGCAGTGCCTGAGATCACTTTTTGGCGTACTCTTCCTCCTTTACGTCCCTGCAACGCTGACAAATATGTTTACCATTAAAGAGAATCTTGTTGTTATACTGCCGAAGAATCTGTCTAATAAAAGTAGATGGCTTGACCTTTTATCGCTCACCGTTGGCCAAATCTGCCTAGACACATTCCATACAGTTTCCTTGAGCTATTCTCTTAAAACTTTGTGAAAAGGGTAGTATTGGTGGGTATAATCTTTGCTTTGGACAGACGGTAGGTATATCTCTTATGTGAAGGCTTTGTAGTGCTTGAAATGGTACCCCCTCTTTCGACGATGAGTTCTCCAGGCTGTCAGAATCTATAGCAATGGGTTGATTTCTCATCATAGTAAGCAGGCCTTTGACTACCTCCGTGTTTGCTCGAAAAACACTTCAGTAGTCCTGAAGAGCTAGATTAAGTGCATCTTACACCTAAATCTATTATACTAGACCTCCTAGACCTCCCTTTACCTCACACAGTGTAGTTGGTTTTGAAGCACCTTACAACATCAAATGAGAGTTTATCAAAAAGTAAAGCGGTTTTACTCTGTCTGCATACCCAGCTTCGCAAGGGTGGAGCTGGGAGGACCTTCAAAGATATGACGTCTCAACAACCCTAAGTAATTTAGTGGTCAACCCAACTACATTTGAAGGCGCTGAAATATCTGAGCTAATCAATGATGGCAGACTCACCAGCGGGGTCTGTGAGAGCTAGCTCACTGCTTTCCAGAATCACTTGGATCCAAGTGGTATTCACTGCGTTTCTCCGCGGTCCTCTCTTATTTGCCTCTTTACATATTCTCACTTGGTTGTCTACCAGAAACTGGCGCCTTTAATAGTATTCCTAAACTCTATATTGAAGACGAAGTTATAGTCATTAAGTTTGGAGCTACCTTGGTTATTGGTGCCAGACTAAAGGATAACTTCATTCTTGCTGAAGGGCATATATTCCGCTCATTCTGCACTGCTAGAGAAGGAGTAGATAGCATCCATAAGGTTGACTGATAATATATGAACTCGACACTCCCAGTGTACTTTGGTTGGTGCTCATGGCAGCTTTCGAAATTAATGATACCATATTTATTCGTAGAGTACCTTGTTTGGGACCCGCAATTATTACTGATGTAACTTTCGATGCTCTGTAGTTTGCTCAAAATTACGTAGGCTCTTTACGCTGTCTCAGAAGCTTCATAATACAAATGAAATGAGCGCTCGGGAGAATCGCAGATCTTTTCACAAAATGGCTAACTAGAATAGACTGCCCCTCTTGTTGTTGTTGTAACCGCAAAAAATATTTCCTTGACAGTCCTTGGCCGGATAAAAAATCCGGGTCATTCCGTTATAAAGACCCCCGACTGTCGCGGAAACTATTGGATTTTACTCACCTCTTACGACAAGCATGCATTACCGCGGGTATATTCTGGAACCCCTTACCACCGCCTGGTTCGCTGGATCACAAAAACATAGCAGGAACAGCAGGGCAGTCGCATCGTTCCAGATCTCAACAGAAAATGGATGACGAGAATAGACTGGCCCTCGTCTGGGTTACTGGATCATGGGAACATTGAGGAAACTGAAGAGCTGAAGAACTTAGGTGTTAGGAAACGGTCAAGTAGATTCATACGGATAAAGATATATGCAATGTGCCACTAAAAGCAATCATTTCAGAGAGGTCGAGTTAAAGTGGAATCAAAATATTTCCCGACGAAAAAATCTTGGCCGAAATGGGATCGGAAAATGTCGAAATTGGACCAGAAAAAGTCGAATGGGTTTTTCCGTAGTAGAAACACATTTCCAAGGTAATTGGATTCATGATGAAGCATTGCCTTATAGGACAGCGTGTTGAAAAGTTAGCGTTCCTTTCAGAAGATGCTAAAGGAGGGACGCTTTCCCAGCTGTTATGCGACTATCCTGCCTCTGGAGTTGGGAAGATTTTTAAGTCTATAAGTCAGTTTGAGTACATGAAAAAGAAGCTGTTAAGTCAAAGCAAATCTTTTACCGAATTCTTTTTCTTCCTTTCTGTAATTCCATGAGGAATGAGGTCCTTCCTGCTTCGTGCTGTCGAAAGCTGCTTAAAATTCAACGAAGAGATGATTCTTCCGGATAAAATATTGTGTGCATATCGATCCTCTTTTCCCGGCTCTTTTCCAAGGCTTGTTGCATGGTGAATATCTGATCAAGAATTGATCTACCAGGTCTAAAGCCACACTGAGAAGATCCAATTGGCGCAAACTGGGGGTCGCCTGTTTTGTGGATTGGACAGAACACACTTAGGTTCCAATTGTCGGCATGCTCTTATTCGGCTATATTTCGCAAAGAAGCTGATGCATGCTCCTTGCCAGCCAATTTCCTTTTCACTGAATAACAATGGGCTTATTTAGACCTCACCTACTTACCCTATCTTCTTACCTACCAATTTCAGTTTTCATTTGAAATTTTCATCGCCTACTATCACCTGGAGTTGCCCATTTGCTGAAGCGTCAACAAAAATGATGATTTGTTTCTATATGTAGGTACTCACGTATGTATGTGTGTATGTGTGTTTTCTTGTTTACATTGCAAAGTAGTTGCGTTTGAAAAAATGCTGATAAGAACAGCAAAGCATTAACAATAAATCTTTTAAAAGCAAGTAAATAAATAATTTATTAAAATAATAATTAAAAAAAAAACTAAAATAAGCTTTTAATACTAATTTTAATGGTTAATGGCCGAAAACGAAAAATTCAACGAAGCACACATTTTTAGCGGCCGGCAAAGCAAGGTATAGTAAGAATCGACCTGTAGTTATGTACATATGTACATATACACGCCAACTGATCCTCAAGAGCTTAATTTACCTGCTGCCTGTGGATAGAATATCCACATAAAAACAAAAACATAAACAAAGAACCTGTTTTTTATCTAGAAAAAAATCAAAAAAAAATTAAAAAAAAAAAATAAATAAATAAAACTCTCAGCACAATTAAAAACCACTCCTAAACGTTTTGAGTTGATAATTCGAATATTTCTCATAACCACTCATTTCATTGAAATATAAATTTAAAATTAACTCAATATTCCAGCCAAACTCATTTCAACTGCGTAAAGTGGAGAGCCATTAATATTGCCGCTCACCGAACTACGCACCGGCTTGCCAATTGCACTCCAGCCGCGCTCACCATTCAACAGTGAAACGCCGCTACTCAGTGCATACTCTCTGCACCACACTGGCGCTCGCGCTCACTCAACCGCTCAGCCACTCAAAATAGTGTCAACAACCAGTATGCGAGTTGGCCAACGAGTAGCTGCACCATAACCATTGCCCAACGTTGGAATTGTATGCCACTTCAATTCAGTTTGATTTCAACGCGCTCAAACGATTGAAGTGATTTGGAAAATTTTGACGATTTAGATTTTTTTATTTTCATAAGAAAAAAATCATACGAAAAAAAATTCTATTGTGTATTTTAATTTAAATTAGCACACTCAGTGTCTATTTATGACAATCCATTGACCATTTCAAAAAAGCAGAAAAAAAAAACACACAGAAAGTGAGTGCAAACTTCTCCAACTGAGAGAGACACAGCATCATCAACGCCTGACTGAAAATAGTCCTTGCTGAGCGCTACAAATATTTCTTATTCCAAAAACAAACAATCTTCTGTTCGTGCACTCTTTCTCTCTCTCTCTCGCCAGAACTCTCTCTCTTTCTCTGAATGTCCTTACGACATTTTATCAGTGCGCGCGCATAGTAAACCTCAAAAAAGTGGCATGAATTAAGTGTGAACATAAAAAAAAAATAAATTCATCTACTGAGACGAGAAACCAAAAGTGAATAAACGCTAACAAAACAACAAATAAGAAAAGAGTGAATGAATTTTCGCATATTTACTGTACTCGTATTCACCACAGTTTGTATTTGTTCCTGAATTTATTCAACACATAAAGCTTACGCTAACCAGCAATCTATAGCATCGCCTGTGGCATCCTTTTTACCACATTCCATACAACAACAATTCGTACGGCAACAAAAAGAAAAACAACAACATCAACAACAACAATATTTGCTAGCACAAAAGAAAGAATTCATGTGTGTTGCGCAGTTTCCTTACCACTTGCCACATCACATTTATCGCAGTGGCATACACGAAAGGCGTTGAAAAAAAGAGCAGGTAAGTTGTGGGAAAAAATCGGTAAAATTTGCTGTGATTACATATATGTATGTATGTATGTAAATATATATGGAAGTTGTATAACATATATGTACATACATAATAAGTATAAATACATACACATGTGTATATGTAGTTATAAGCTCAAGATTCCGTATGAATCATTCAATAAAATGGTTTTGTATACATACAAATGTGTCTATGTATTTACAAGAGAAGGCAATTTCGTATACAAAAAAAAAAATTAATGCTTATCTGTCAATATCAATAAAAAAATAATAATTTTAATAATAAAAGAAATAAAGGTATCATTTGCATGTGTAGGTGTCTTATTGATTTTTATATACCCCATTGCCTTATCTCCCTGCGATAGATAAGCTTTCATGAAATACTCCTTAGTCGAATCGGTTTGGGCAGCTCAGCTCCTAAAATACGTTGTTTAATGCCTCCACTGAGTTTTATGCCTTTATGACGTTAAAGAAATAACTAATTTCTGTCATTTAATACAAAATTGACTATCAAAGTTTGAATTGAAGGGTCCAAGTGAAGGCGCAGATCGCTCTACATTTCATCCTTCCAACGGATCGAATTTATTTTTATGTTCCTCTGTCGTCTAAGCCTTTGCACTATATAAGGGTGTCTTCCATTAAGAGGTGCTATTCCGGTAGTTGTCACTGGTGAAGCTGACATTTTTGACATTTGACAAGTAGAAGCTACGCGAGTAATAATAATGGAAAGATACAAGCTTCAACAACGCTTTAAGATTATTAAAATTCACTACCAAAATGGTGAAAACCTGTCAGAGGCGGTGCGTAAAACTGAAACATTTTTCGGTCCTTGTTCGACCGCAGTACAGAAATTGGTAGCAATACTCGATCTGTGGGACCAAGTTAGTTTCGTGAAGAATATAACATATGCACGTCACTCAAGAATAACTGAGAACACAACAGGTTTGTCCATTCCTCTTTAGAATTGTGCATTCCAAAAATGTCATTTCGCCGTGTTTTGCATTAAGACTTGGGTCTTAAAGCTTAAAACAACAGAAACACAAGAACACAAGCCGGCCGATCATCAACATCGTCAAGTCTTCCCTGATTGGGTCCTTGACATGCATGAAAGCCATACGGAGTTTCAGCGTAAAACCATCTTCACTGATGAGGACCATTTCCACTTCTGTGTTTACGTCAAAAGGCAAAACTGTCGCATCTCTCGGGCTCGAAAAAACCGAAGATTGATTTTTAAAAAGCCACTCCCTCCTCAACATGTAACTCATTGGTGTCCGGCGGGGTCATTGAACCTTACTTTTTCGAAAATTAGACTGGAATAACAGTTACGGTGAATGGATTGCGCTATCGAGAGATGATAAATGGTTTTTTATAGTTGGAATAGGGTGGTATTGCTCTAGACAACGAACCATCTTTTAAGGGAGAAACTAGCAGACCGTGTTATCTCGTAGAGGTGACCACCGAGAGCTTGTGACTGAAAACCTTGGGACTTCTGTCTTTGAGACCAAGTGAATAAGCCAACATAGATTCAAGGTCTGGATTTCATGAAGCTGTTGAGGGCATACAGCAGCCACTTTGCAAATTGATGATGGCAAATTTAATAAAAAGGATACGGTAGCCATTGGGGGGATATTGTTTCCTTTATTAGTGGCATATCTTCTTCTTTGCATTGAAATAATCTCCTCTTATTTGCAAAACCTTGTACATAGTCGCACTGGAATGTGTTTTAAAAAGGTTGAGCTTTGTTCGTTTTAGAAGAACTTTACTTTTCTATGCCCTACGCAGTACTGTATGTTTTCATTAAACTCTTCAAATCATATTATTTTCACTAGAGTTAAGTGGTAGCAGTCACACGAGACCTTGGCTCGCAGAGGTCCTTTCAAATTTTGCACTGCTTCTGCCATAGTTCAATGCCAGCTTAAAAAGCCGTAGATATTTTTCCAGAGGCAAAGCAACTAATTTTTGGAGTGCGTAAAGAGTGTCGATCCTCTTCTCTCAGATCTTATATCAAGATTTGAAACGTGGACTAGTTCTAGCCAATCGCTTCTCAAACTAAAAAGATCTGTTCAATAAATGTGTTGACGGTGGACTTAAATCTTACATACAATACGCTAGATTAAAGCTTAGACATATGCGATGTTGACGGGACTTAACCAGACATATTGGGCGCAGACTGTGGTCTCTCATCATGTCAGGCATTCTTTCGTTCGATTTAATTCTTGTAAGCTTTTCGCCGTGGCACTGTATCAGCTTGGCCTCCTACGCTTTGTTGTTTTTCAGATGGCCAATTGCTATTCGAACTTTTTCATGGTCGGGCAGTGAAACATCTACTCGAACGTTATCTGAATGGTTAATCGGGTGTTGCATCTCCTGATGTTCCATTTTCTTTACCTCTCCGCAGACTCGATAAATCGGTATACTCTGGACATCTGTCACTAGATCACATCCTTGAGTTCTACGACGGTATGCTTCGGTTTTCAAGCTTCTTGAGCTCTTCATCAACTCAGGCATCTCGATCTCTTTCTTTGTTTTTTGAACGCATCACAAGTGTGCGAGGTACACAGCCTGTTTTCTCTTTACTGCGGCACGGCAATCCCCTTAATACCAACTATTCTTTTCTGAAATCAGCGGTACGTAGTGAGCTTCCTCCTTCAGTTTTTTTATACCATATATCAGCAGGGAATGTCCACCCCTGCTAGTGTATATCGAACATAAAATAAAGGCTCCTCGTAAAAAAAACCATCAGGAATTCGGACATTCGGAGTATAAGCTGTAGGTCCCTCCATTTGTTGGAAAAACATCAAGATGCAAGACCACAAATTGGAGGAGGAGCTTGGCCGAAAAATCGCTTCAGCGGCTACAAAGCGCACATTATATTATATGATAAGTGCTCTCGGAGGGAAGTAGTGGAAGTGACGTAGTAAACCAATCGAGAGACGAACCAAAGAACATTGTTTGAAGAAAGAACTTGTTCGGAAATGTTCGAACATAACAAACGATCTCATTCGTGAAGAAATTAGTTCTAGGTGTTGGTCGAACCCTGGCACAATGCAATGCTAATCACTCGGATATTCTTATTTATAGTCGAGACAAAAGAGTGCTACACCGCGGCCAGGCTGTGTGGATTCTGAGCTTTGGATTAACAATTCAAGCGCCTAACACTGTATATGAATACATATGCATATGTATGTAGGTGATTATTTACCACTGGTATATATGTATATCCATTACTACATATTCAACGCTCATATGAAGATAAAGAAGAAAACGAGAAGCCTCAGGCTATAACTGTATTTACGGAAGTGGATAAAAAGTCAAGGCATATCAATAAACTAACTTTAGAATGACATTCGCATATAGATAAATATATACAGTTAACGTTTACGTATGTACGAGTATGTATGTACTCGTATATACAAAACAATGTACGTGGACTTGTCACGTTGGACTTACAACAATGAATGCAAAACTGGACAGCCGGTAGTGTTGCTGGTACTGACTGTGCATACTCGTACACACATAGTTCAAATCGTTTTCAAAAGGAAGTGGGTAGACATGGATATGTGTATGAAGGTACAAATGTAAGTATACTCGTGTATATATACATACTCGTGTATATATATATATATATATATTTATAGCATTTTAAGCACATATAATTTAATACTGCAACATAAAAGTATTTTATGCTAAGTGAAGTCATGTAAAAATATAAGAATATATGTATATATTGTATGTACAGATATATCTATATGTGTGTATATTTATATAGCATTCCTCCTGCTTTTGTAATGGATAAAAAATGGAAAAAAATTGTCAGCATTTACAGCATTTACAAGAGAGTCGTTAATTTCCGTGATATGCTGTCATTATGTGTAAATTGTTATAATAATAACCAAAATGTCACTTCTCTATTCCACTCACAAACACACATACACACACACACACATACACATTGACACATACATATTTCTTTTATATACATATACTTTAAAGGCATTTAAATGCGTTTACATAACCTATAATGCACACACAATACCAAGTATAAATGGGACATAATAAACTGTAGAAAATCCTGAAAACAAAGGAAATTTGACAAGCAACAACAAAAGCCAATAATACTGTTACATTTACCATACTCCTACATAACGTTTTTTGCATGTTTTTGATAAAAGCTGAAAAGACTTAAATAAACTGCATATAATGAAATAATTGTGTATGTGCGTGTGTGTGTGTGTGGGTGAGTAGGCGAAAGTTCACATATTGATATGTACACTTGTGACACCAGCAGTGACATTGCTAATCAAATGTGAAAATAAATTTACAATTACTAAGTGCATTTCATATACACATATACATACTTATGTACATACAACTGTACATAGGCTTTTAATGGCATATTTATCAAATGAACGTATGTGCATTGTATCCGGTAAGATAATCACATTGATAATGCATTAGTATATATGTATTTTGTCGATACACCTCAAATGCATTCACAACAGCATTCACTATTGTGTCGGTGTATGTGTGCACTCTTCAGTTTATTGACTACTATTGTAAGCTATCAGTGATTGGCAGCGATACTATTATATATGTATATAGCACAAACAAGCAAATAAACAAAAGTGATAATTAGGAGAAGCAGAGTTTATTATGTGAATGTAATGGATCAATATAAATTTTATAAAATATAGAAATGAAATTAAATTAAATTAAACTGAATTAAAGCCAATTAAATCAAACTGAAAAAGGAAGAAAAATTAAAATAATTTTAATATAATAAAAATAAAAATTAAAATAAAATAAAACTAATTAAACCAAATTAAATTAATTTTTAGGTTTTTTATGGAACTGTATATTATATATATATTTGTTGGAAACAGTGAAAAAATTACAATACTTTTGGATGGTAGAAGTTATAGCTGCTATTTGGGGAGCCACCACGTTTCCTCATCAGACTTTTTTTCCCGACACCTTTGTTCAAACAGGATA